TGCAGGTCAAGCAGCTCTCACTGGGTTTTGGGAATCCTCCTCGCTGCTCCACCTTCAGCATCTCCCTGCTGGGATGGGGTGTTAGTGCACTGGAGCTGAGCTGCTGCCCCCGTTGGCACCTCCCTCCTGGGACTGGTAGGGATATTGACTGCTCCCAGCCTGGGGGCCACTGGCTTCTGTTCCATCCTCTGGACAGAAAGGCCACGCAAAGCCCACGTTGTCCTGAAGGTTCCCCCTTTCCTGTAGTGCTGTCTCAATCCATCCAGCCCTGTGGCTTCACTCTCATGTGCCTCCAGCAAAGTGCCCACCTGATCCCCTCTCCCCAAACTTTGCATATAACAGACGGGGCATAAAAATGTCCAGCACAGACACCTTCTTACATGTTCCTTGGGGTGCCAGATAACGCCGCATGTTATTTCTTAATAACATAAATAAAACGACCCTTCCCTAGATTCAGAGGAACAGAGAACAGTGAATTGATGACCTGCATGTGGCAGGAAGTGACTGTGTGGTGCAGGAAAGAAAGTCTGGATGGAGTCACATGGGTGGCTTGGGCCTCAGAGCGAGGACGGGCCGGGCTCGCATTTACGGGAAGGAAACTCCCACTTTCTGACCTGTGGAAAGTGAAACCGCTGTGTGCAGAAGCCATGGCTGCTGCCCCCGAGAGCACCGTCCTGGCTCTCAGCGAGGAATCCACTTGCTCCATCTGCCTGGATTTTTTCAGGGATCCCGTGATCATTACAGAATGTGGGCACAATTTCTGCCGAGCCTGCCTGAGCCAGAGCGGGGGGGAATCAGATGCACAGGCCTCCTGCCCCCAGTGCAGGGGGACCTTCCAGAAGAGGAACCTCCGGCCCAATCGGCAGCTGGCCAGGATTGTGGAAATCGCCAGAAAATCAAGGGAAGAGGCCGTCAAAGGTGCTGAAGGGAAGGTGCAACTCTGTGAGAAGCACTGGGAGCCCCAGAAACTCTTCTGCAAGGACCACGAAGCCCCCATCTGCGTGGTGTGTGANGGCCCAATCGGCAGCTGGCCAGGATTGTGGAAATCGCCAGAAAATCAAGGGAGCAGGCTGTCAAAGGTGCTGAAGGGAAGGTGCAACTTTGTGTGAAGCACTGGGAGCCCCAGAAACTCTTCTGCAAGGACCATGAAGCCCCCATCTGCGTGGTGTGTGACAGAGCCAAGGAGCACAAGGATCACCAGGTGGTTCCCCTGGAGGAGGCGTCCCAGGAGTACCAGGTAGGAGATATGTGCATTTCTTGCTGGGGGTGTGGGGGTGGGAGAAATAACTGTGGGCCCCTCTGAGCGTGGCCTCTCCGAAGACTAATAGGAAGGGAATGATGCTCCGTGATCCTCTGATTCCTTGCCTTTCTGGATTACCCAGGAACCAGGCCTCTGGGAAGGGCCAGGCAGGATTGCTGTTCACAGGCGTGTTCTTTCTTGTGTAAAAGGGATCTGGGGGAAGCCCAGAAGCCCCAGGATTGTGGGGCGGAAGTTGTTTAGGTGGTTCTCCTCCAGCTGCTCCCTGCACCAGATCTAGATTGGGCAGAGCCAAAGGAGGCCCTTGAAATGTTGCAGGCAGAGGCGTAGCTGCCCTGGGGGGGAAGTTCCCAAGGTTTGTGCCTGCACTGAGGAGGGGGAGAGGAAACAGCCGGTGTGGCAGGACATGATGGAGGTGCATGGAGGGGCCCCAGAGCGGGGAGGGGAAAGCAGCCTCAGAGACTCCCAGGTGAAAGGTGGCCCCGGGAATCAGTCCCTCTTCTCCTCTGCCCTCCTTCCAACCCTCCGAGTGAGTTTACCAAGATTCGCACTGGAGCTGCAATACGGAGCAGGCCCTGTAAGACTCCTCCTGCCTGCCCTTTGCCTGTCCCCGAACCTCTGTTGTATCTCCCCAAAGGCCACGCGAAAGCCCAACTGCATGTGGCCAAGACATACAGGTTCAACCACTAATAAAAAATATTGCTGTGGCGTGTTGGCCGGCCAGCCAGTCAACCTCGACAAGCGGCGCGAGAAAGTTTTTTAAGTAACAGAAAACACTACAGACAGAAG